CTGGAGAAAGCGATTATGTTTGGAAGAGTTAGTGGTAAAAAAGAAACCAGGTCATCAAAGAACATAGTGGCTGGATACCATCAAAGCGGACACCAGCCAGAGCATAGAAAACTCAAGTAAAGCAAGCTCAGAAGATGTGGCCCATAGAGTTGCCAAGAGTCTGACACAATTGAATGGATAACATCATCATCATCGTGTTGGATCCACCTATAATCACAAACAAACAAGGAAACAAAATCTTGTTCAGAATCTTGAAAGGGATGAAAATAAGGATGAAAGGAATGAAATTACCCCAATTAAATAACAGACATACATTTGCTTTCTTGCCTGTTGCATGATTGGATGGTTCTGAGATTGTCCTCTGCATTTGGAATCGGAAACTCTTAGGGTTTTTTCCCCTCCAGATACTTTTTAGAACAGTATTGAATGGAATCCGCTCCAATTCAATTTGAATTAAGGATTTGAGATTCAGAAATGTCAACCTGAATTAATACAAGCTTGAGAGTCAATTTGAAAAAAAAAAAAGGTTCCCTGATAAGTTGTAATGAGAAAGCATAAAAACAGAGGTCACAGCTACACATATAAGTGGACAAAAACAGCAGGGGGACTGAACCTTTAGGGGACATTAACTCTGACAAGTTTCAGCTGGATGCTTTCAAGGGTTCACGACAATCAAAATAGTCCATCTTATTTCTTTTAAACCAGATACAGCAGAGATTAGAAAAGACAGCCCTGGGACCGCCAAACTGCCCAGCAAAATGTTTTAATTTGCTAAACCTACCCAGCAGGTATCTGCTCCAACTTAAAAAATAAAAATAAATGAAAACTTGCTGAAGAAGTACGCTCTTACTCAGTGATGGGATTCAAAAAATTTTACTACCGGTTCTGTGGGCGTGGCTTGATGGGCGTGGCAGGGGAAGGATACTGCAAAATCTCCAGTCAGAGGTGGTATTTGCCGGTTCTCCGAACTATTCAAAACTTCTGCTACCAGTTCTCCAGAACTGGTCAGAACCTGCTGAATGCCACCTCTGCTCTTACTCCTTTTACTTTTTCTAGGATACCAGATTTGGCATGCTATTGAAAAATAACCAAATCCTTACAAACAGGATAGAATGTGTTGCTACTACCTCTAGTTGCTGGGTTCTCTGACATTGTAGAAGGACTAGCAACCCCCCACTCCCCGCCGCCACCTCCCCAAGGCCGCTTCTCCACTGATTTCAGCGTCAGACTGGATAGCACACTGGCAAAATTTAGTATCTTCTCAGCAAGACTTAGAAAAATGAAGACTGATTTGTATTTAAGGAATGGTGTAATTTTGCTACTTCTGATTACTGGATTCAGGGGCCAGAACAGTGGCATGCCATGGCTGATTATCCTTCTGCAAAGGCTATCCCTCCCTTTGCATCACTGAATCACTGGGAAGATCCAGTTGTGTCATAATTGTGGCTTGCACGCCCATACTATGCATCTGCAAAACTTGTTGCAAGAGGAGGCGATTAGTAAGTAATCCCTTGGTTGACATCCAGAATGGAATAGCATGTACGCACATGTCAGTGCTATGATTTTTGTCACCATCACTATTGCTACAGGATATCTGGGTTGATATGAGCATAATATTTCTGTGTGAGGGCATCTGCCACCTTGCTGTGATGTTGACGTGACCTGCTTATTGTTTGTTGTGGACGTATCCTCACAACAGAGCCTCCATCTTGGTGCCAATCTGCCACGGAGACATGATGTCAACAGTGTCAGATAGTCCAGATAAGAAGCACCAGAGTACTAGCTCTGAGTTTGTTGTAAGGTTACATTAACAGAATCTTGCAAGTCTAAAAGTATATCTTTTCCCCCCTTGCCTTTACAATCCAAGAAACTAGGGAAGGTCCCTTCTGAGACTGCCTTGCCCACGCTGCTGCTGCAGACTTAATTGCCTCTCAGCTAAACATTGACTAGTCTGGGGCTCTTCCTCCTCTCCCAAGGCTATTTCCATATACACATGCCCAAACTGAATCAAAGCGATCCCACTGGAAAAGTGATATTTTCCATTAGAACAAGGAATAGGCTCTATGTCACACAGAGAAGGGATCTGAAGGAAGTTGGGGACCTGCAGGGCTCTACTTGTCCCTTTCCTCTACACAGAATGGGACAACTCGCCATGGCCAACTTTCTGTGGCCAAGTTACCACTGCCAATTCGCCACGGCCAGCTCGCCATGGCACAGCTATCTGCAGCCAACTTGCCATAACCAACTCGCTGTGAGACAATTAAACAATTTTATTTAATTTTTAAAAAATTATTTTACTTTCGGCCATTCTCATTTCATTTTGTCCCTCCTTTTCTTTAATGATTCTATTCCACCATTTCTTCAATATTAAGTTAAGTTTTGTCCCATAGTAAATTGTGCTGTGATGAGTTGGCTGCTGTGAATTGTCCCTTGACAAGTTGGCGGTGGGGAATTTTCCTAGACCTAATTGCCATGAACTTTCAGTGGCCTATTCTTCTTCGGCTGTCAAACCAGAACTTCTCTAGTGAGTCAAAAAAAAAAATGTTTGCAGGATTGGGAATGTTGACTTTAGGAAACACCTTCCGCAAGGTTACCCTGCACAGCCTGATCTTCTTTTCATCCGGATGAATTTACCACTGTTCGCCTTGCTTGTCTTACTGCCTCATTCTTCTTCCTACCTACCTGCTTCCCTCCCACAAGGCTGGCCAAGCGCAGGAATTCCACCTTTCCTGTTGTTTCCGTTTTCCCTGTGCTTGGCCAGGACGGGGCAGAGAGGCAAGCAGCCCAGAAGAATCTTCCTTCCCCTTCTTTGTTCCTTACTCCCTCAGCAGCAGCAAAAGAAAGCCACCGTCCCTTTGCTGGCCTTATTTCAGAAATGTGGCAAGAGGAGCTCTGGGAAGGCCGTTGTTTTCCAATTGGCCCATTTTCCTCCCATCCTCAAACACATCATGTCAGAATATCTTGCTCCAGCAACAGAACCTATAGCAGATGGCTTGGTCAGACTTTGAGGGAATTGCCACATGGCAAAAACGAAAGTACAGGTAGTCCTCGACTTATGACTAGATGCTTAGGGAGCACTTGAAGTTATGAAGGACTTCCCTGCAGTTACTTATCATCTGGGTTCAAAGTTCCAATGGTGCCCCCTCCCCCCTCCACATGGTCGCACGGGTGGACTTTGGGCACTTGTCAACCAGGCCACGTATATAAATGTTTGCGCTATCCCACAGTCATGTGGCTGTGACTTATGATAGCTTTGCCAAAAACTGGCATTTACTTCTGGATCTTGGCAAACTGAACCATGGTGAGCTGTTGGTTTGCTTAACAGCCTCACAAAAATAGTTATAATCAGATTGGTCACGTGGATGACCCAGTTTGCAGTTATCACAAGTTATGACTCTGATGGATAGGTTCCATTACTCTGTGTGTGTGTGTGTGTGTGTGTGTGTGTGTGCGCGTGCATGCACACAAATACTGCAGGAATCTTTAATAAGTTCTAGCAGTCTAGGCTCATCTGCTCACTCTTCAAGCGGTTTTATTATATTTTCCTAATAGCGGGAATATTATGATGTTTTGAAACCTATATTTAGTTACTCAAATCGCTTTTTAGGTTGATGAATGCATCTTCCAAGAAAAACTGCTTGAAATCGTGAGCACCGGGAGTTGGTGCATAAGCGCACCAACGTGCCTACCTATCCCTGTCCTATTGTTTCTTTTTTATTCGTATCCATTTCATATATTCATAACCATGTTTATACTTATACCTGTTATCTAATACTTGCTTGACAAATAAACAAATAAAATAAATAAAAAAATGAGGGGTGGCCTTTTGGTGGCTTTTTCAGATTTCCTTTTATTTCCTGTTTTTCTTGCAGCTTGGGTACTTGTTTTGGAATTCTTGAAACAACTTTCTAAGCATTTCTAAAGTATTTGGCTAAAAAAGTGGATATATTATCTAAAGTGAAATAGAGAACAATGGAAAATATTTGATAAATATTTTAATATAATGAACTGAAACACTAAGGAAGAATTTGTTGCATAAAATGGAGAAGAAGATAGCCACTGTATGCATTTTGGTTCTGGAAATAGCTGGGGAACACAGTATATTGTCAGTTTCAGGCCTTGTGTCCAAGAAAAACATTCTAATGAAATAAAGCTTCCAGAATATTATGCTTATATAAAACAGTGATAAATGAGGAAAATATTTGGCCGCAGAGCTGCAATAAATTTTTCTAAATATATTATGTAGAGAGAAATATGAGAATTAATTAAAATAAGCATGTACAAATTCCACTTGGCCTCTTTTTCACTTTTTTTTTTGGCACAGAGAAAGGCTGCATTTAGGAAGAGAAATGAAGAATTACTGTTCAAAAGGGTTGTAATCATGAGGATAATGTGTGCAGAGGGTTTGGCAAGGGAGAGGCAACAGAATGGCCTTTCTAGTTGTTTCACTAAGAGGTGGGAATGGATTTTGCAATTTGTGTTTGCAGAAGGTTTTCTGATATTGTTGCTTTACGAAGGGAGATTTCTCTTAATGATTGGGCAATGCCAAAGAGGCTGCAGGGCATTTGTAAAAATTGCCTCTTCTCTTCATTGCTGAAAACTCGTACTAGGTCAAGAATCCCTTTGCGGTGGAAGGGTGCTATTATTTGGTGGAAGGCCACTTTTCCAAAATAATGAAAACAAACAAGCTGTATACTAAAAAAGCAAGAATGTACTTACATGGTAGTCCGTATCACCTTCTTTTCCCCCCTCGTATGCTGTAATAACCTTCTCTACAACAATGCATTTCAAGGAAAATGGGGAAAGAAATGTACAGTATTCCTTCTGAGGAAATAATTTATCTGTTCAATTTATTTAAAAGAAGCATCAGGGTTGGAAATGCAGAATATTATAAGGAACCTGCCTATTTCATCCCTCCTGCTGTGTGTACATGCTTAATAGAGCTACATTTTGAGTTTCAACTGTGAGAAGAATGAACTAATTTTTTGTCTCGTTCTCAGCTCTTAGATAAGAACCAAGAACAGAAATGGGGAAACAGAACAGTAAATTGAGACCTGAGGTGCTCCAGGACCTCCGAGAGAACACTGAATTCACAGACCATGAGCTTCAAGAGTGGTACAAAGGCTTCCTAAAAGATTGCCCGACTGGCCATTTGACTGTTGATGAATTCAAAAAGATATATGCGAATTTCTTCCCATACGGAGATGCCTCAAAATTTGCAGAACATGTGTTCCGCACTTTTGATACCAATGGTGATGGGACAATAGACTTCCGGGAATTTATAATTGCTCTAAGTGTTACATCTCGAGGAAAGCTTGAACAGAAGCTGAAATGGGCATTTAGCATGTATGATCTTGATGGCAATGGTTACATTAGCCGTGCTGAAATGCTTGAAATAGTGCAGGTAAGTTTTTAAAAAATAATGTTAAAGCATTAAATTAAATGTTAAGATGATCCTTTTGGACCTCAGGGACCACCAAATTCATAATTATAAATCCCAGGGACCACTAACCGGTTCTGTGGGTATGGCCTAATTTGTGGGTGTGGCTTGGTGGTCATGGCTGGGCATGGCTTGTATGTAAATATTATAAATATTTATATAAACATTGAATTTTTTTATTAAAAAAAGAACAACTTTTATCCAAAATCAGGCAAAGCAGGCAGATTGAGTTGCTCACAGAATCATTCAGTGATCTATCTATCTGCCATCGGCTAGCTCAGTCTCTCAAATTTGCTTGCCGTGAGTCTGCACTGAATAATAGAACCTTCAGTCCTAAGGGAGGTTCGGTTGTGCTTAGCTAGAAAACAAGAAATCCAACCATTTCCTGCTTCTTAGTTAATCTAAATCTCCTGGCACAGCAGAACACCTGATGGTTGGAAAAAGGAAAAATAGCAATTTAGCAGGCAAGTTTTCTGGGTAAGGAGTGAGTGGGCGGGGAGGGTTCCCGCAGGCCATGTGGGCAGCGCAACCTTGTGTTTCTGCGCAGCCTGGATACTTGCTTTGGGGGGGTGCTCCGGGAGTGAGATTTCTCTGCAGCCCACCAAAATTTTCTCATGGTCCACCAGTGGGCCATGGCCCACCGGTTGATGATTGCTGATCTAGTGCAATCCAATTCTTTCAGCTATTTAACTTGAAATGCAAGTGCTGCAGCATTTTCAGCCTGGTGCACTTGAGATATATGGGCCATGCTGGCTGTAAATGATCTCCAGTAGACCTAGAAAGCACCAATTTTGGGAAGACTGCTATCCATAATCTTGACCTTGGGGGATATTTCAGCTGAAGTTCTTAGCATTCATTCGATGTGTATCAATATATGCTTATACAGATAGTCCTCAACTTATGGCCACAATTGAGCCCAATATTTCTGTTGCTAAACAAGACAGTCGTGAAGTGAATTTTGACCCTGTTTTATGTCCTTTCCTGCCACAATTATTAAATGAATCATTGCAGGTGTTAAGCAAATGACAATCTGGCTTCCCCACTGACTTTGCTTGTAAGAAGATCACAAAAAGTGATCACATGACCCTGGGACACTGCAACCGTTCTAAATACATGCCAGTTGCCAAGCATCTGAATTTTGATCATGTGACCATGGGGATACTGCAATAATTTTAAGTGTGAAAAATGGTCCTGCATCACTTTTTTCAATCCCGTTGTAACTTTGGTTATTAAATGAGTGGTTGTAAGTCAAGGACTCTCCGTACCTCCAAGTAAATGAGATGCAAGCAACAATATGTTGACTTGTAATGTAGTCATCAGATTAAAGATCCTATTTTACACACAGAGGTATGAGTGTACTTGGGTTAACACTGACTTTAGATGAACAGTATCCTGGTATTTATGCACCAACACTTATTGGTTCTGTTCTTACCATTATCTGGAAATACTGCATGTAACATATGTACAATGAAGGCTGATAACTTAGTCCTACATTTATATATTGCAAATTTTAAATGAAAATGTTGATTGAACAAAGCCATGATTTCTGGCAGAGCTTAATCCCAGTGGGTCCATCTAGTCAAATTCATGGCATATGGAATGTTGTGACTTGGATGTAAGAAATGATAAAGAGCATGAATTTACAAATAAAGTAAAGGAAAAACAGATATATTGTGTGTCTGAAAGGAAGGGAAAGAGAAGAATGTAATAGAACTGATCGTATAGAATGACGTTGATGAAAACCTAGAGTGAAGTTGTAGATTTAGTTGTGAATGACAGGGTTGAAATATGAATTGGTGTCTTCTAGGCTATTATAGGTATGTAGAAAAGAAGAATTCATAGTTTAGTGACATGTCATGTTATACATCAGTGAATGTTAATAGAAAAAGAAAGGATGAACTTTGGAGAAAATAGTATAATGTTTTGAATGAATGCAGTCCAGAGGGGCAAAGATTATTTTAGATGGCATGAAGACAGAAAAAGTGATAAGAGACATTTAGCAACCCAAGAATGAATGAGGATGGCGGAATCTTGTTTAAATACATGGTTGAAGCATAAGCCTCTTCGGGGATAGTTGTAGCAAAGGAGGAAAACAGAAAAGTGCAAATGATTTGACTGCCTTTGGTGATAGTTTATATCAGGTGCAAGTAGTCAGGAACAGGAATTAACTTCAAAATCTTCAAGTTTATTTTAATGCTACCTTTATACAAGAATCTGATCTACTAACAGTCGCAGCAAATTGGCACTTAGATAAGTGTCAATGAAACCTATGAGGGGGCTGGACTTTGGTCTCTTGTGGGAACTCCAAACTTATGACATGTTTAATCCTGCTTTCCAGCTCCACCTCCAGTTTACATTAGAATTAAGGGTTATGAGGAATCTGAAGATGGGATAGATTGTTATTGGTATCAAGAATGGATCTCGGGAAAAACAGGATGTGAAAGGATGTGAAAAACACTACAGTGCAGGAAGAATAACTGTAGGGAAAGGAAACATTGGTAATTAGTTTAATCTCCCAACAGAATGGAATGGCAACTCAGCTATGGAAAAAAAGGACATGGAAGCTGCTTGAAAAACAGAAATAAATTTGTTTACAGAATACCAATGAAGTGTGTGCATCTGTTCTATTTAATAAGTAAATACTTCATATATAAATCAATACATGCAGAATATGGGAATATATTAGATACAAATCATAGCATAGGAACTTTTTTAAATGCAGAACTTTTTGAGGGTTCCTTTAGTACTTCTTTTGTATGTTTTAATATATTTCACTGTAATGAATGGCCTCTCAGTTTGGTTTTATTTTTTTGTTTTAAGTTTGGAATTCCAAAAAAGTATTTTAACCTGTTTTCCTATATATATTGCTATCCCTATGAAGGCAATCTATAAAATGGTGTCTTCAGTCATGAAAATGCCAGAGGATGAATCAACTCCAGAGAAGCGAACAGATAAAATCTTCAGACAGATGGATACCAATAATGATGGTAGGTTTCTGCAATAAACTTTTGTGATGTGCTTAGCAAAGATAGGGGTAATGGTAGTGGACATCTGTTTAAAACTGTTTAATCTAGAATCAAAAAAGGGAGAAATTGTTGCATTTTTAAAAAGGTCCAACAGTCTTACCTGTCCATTTTTTAAAAAAATTCTAAAGTCTCTGGTCCTAAAACCAGACCACTTGTTTATAAACACGTCTCTGTGCACACTTATTTTCCTGAGATTAACCTTTTTTTCTCTTGCATTCTGTTTTTCTCTTCCACTGACAGTCTCTGTCAAGCCATATAAAACTTTGCAGAGAAGTGTTTTGCAACAGAAATAAATTATTGAAAAGTATGACATTTATTATAATTTGTACAGCTCATTCTAGCTGCAGATTTTTTAACTCCACAAATAGGAAAGATAAGTTGATTTGTATGAATTTTGAATGAAGTCCATTAGAATTTCAAAGAGCAATTGTAGTTTACCATGTTACTTCAGATTGGCCACTGTTATCTCTGTTCCTCCAGCTAGATCACTAAAAACAAAGAAAGCATTTTTCCTTTTATCTACTGTATTTTGCAACAGGAAAATACTGTAGAGGTTGCTTTTGGAAGCAGTATCTTGCTTCAGAACCTTTAATCCATCAAGGTTAGGAGAGAAGAAAAAGGAAAGTTAAGGTTCTTTGTAGTGCAGTGGCTACTTAATGGGGTCATTAGTGTTGAAATAGGTTCCTGTAGTTTTTTTAGTAGTGAGTCAAAGTAGAAATGTTTTCTCGGTATTGCCTGGTAGCAGGACATTGGTCTATTTGCATCGAAATATGTTAAAAAGAAGTACCCTACTATGAACTGGTATGGTGGGGGTTTGGGGGCACTAGTTCCTCAGCCAATGATGATTCAAAAGATACTAATATCTCAAAATATAACCATAAATGAGTTCTTTGAAGCAACCTATTGCCATTGTTGTCCAATACCTTCTGTAACAAAGGTTAGGTTATGTCACTTTCAAAAGTCTCAACTTCAATACTTAATCCAACTAATCTTAGTCCATCTAACAAATGATGAAAGAGACTGGAAGTTGTTGGCAAGGCTGAAGATTCCCTGCCTTTGTATACAGTCAGCTTATCTTCCCTGTGACTCTTGACATGAGCACATCACTGCTACAGTTAAATAAGTATTAGATACCTGCAAGATGGGTGGAGGTCAAAATATGTCAAAAGATCTAAACATGTGAGCATTGGTATTCTTCACAAGAGAGGTTTATCAGAGTACCCTAATTCCTGAAGGATTTAATATATATTCATAGTACTATTTAGAGCAGGGGTCTCCAAACTTGGCAACTTTAGGACTTGTGGACTTCAACTCCCAGAATTCCTCAGCCAGCTTTGCTCGCTGAAGGATTCTGGAAGTTGAAGTCCACAAGTCCTAAAGTTGTCAAGTTTGGAGACCCCTGATTTAGAGCATAGGGTGTTAACGTGATCAGCCATCGTTAAGTTTTCCTCAAATTAATCTGAGCTGAATCAAGGAAAATGCAGCTTATTCAAAGACATCCCGTCACCATACGTTTCTTACCTTTCTTCCAAGACTAGACATAGTCATCTTGGGGAGAAGAATACCTTAGCACTAGTGGGGGATCTTAGTTCTGATTGAAGTGATCCATCTGTACCGCTGCAACGATATAGGATGGCTTTTGATTCCCTGTCAAGAAACAATGATACAAATGTCATTTACTGAGGAACCGGTTTTCATTAAAAACTTAAGCAAGTTGTTGCTCCCTCCTAAAGGTGAGAGATGATTGCCCTGGAAGCAGAAGTGTCAACTAGTAGATGATTGATATTTGTGTTCTTTGGGTGGTTTTGTGAGCATGCATATTTTACAACTACAATCTCTTTTGAGACAAATATGCTGCACAAATACATTCGAGATAAGCATCAAATAGTTTGCCTATTACTAATTAACTCAGTTGTGAGAGAACTTAAAGGATAAATATGCACAATCTATTAAAGTCAACGTGAAAATTATTGTTTTTTAGTAATATGACAGAAAAATATAGAAGCCCAGAACATTGTACAGGTAGTCCTTACAAGCAGTTGCTTAGCTACCATTTGAAATTCTGATGGGCCCACCTAGGGAGTAGTTAGGATCCATATCTGAAGTTCCGATGGTCACCCCCCCCCCCCCCTCCAATCATGGGACTCTGCTTTGGACACTTGGCAACAAGGCTGCATTTGCAGAGTTCCGTGGTCAGGTAACCGTGATTTACGACAGTTTTGCTTTTGGTTTTTGGCAAAACTGTGCCTATTGCAAACCAATGGTTAATAACCATACTGCTTACTTACCTATCTCCGTGATTCATTTAATGATCACCACAAGAAAGTTTGTAAAAATGGGTTGTAACGTGAGAGCTACCTTGCATCCTTCCACTGTTACTCTTTCCGGCCTAGACAATTTGTTCAAGCAGAGATGGTCTCCTCAAAAAAAACTGTATTTATAAAAGCTTGAATTTGTTCAAGCAGAGATGGTCTCCTCAAAAAAAACTGTATTTATAAAAGCTTATTGTGCTTGTCCAAATTATCTTAGAAATATATCACATTCTTCTGTTCCTTTCTCTCTGCTCATCTAAGAAATGAGCAAATGAGAAAGAATAATACCTTAGGGCCAGGGGTGGGATTCAAATGTTTTAACAGATTCTGTGGGCATGGCTTGGTGGTCATGTTATTGGCTGGATGTGGCCAACTCAATATCACTCACATCGAGGCATGCATCTCCTCACCTGGCCTGTCATGACTGTGGGGATGCTGCAACAGTCGTAAGTGTGAAAAATGGTCATAAGTCACTTTTTTCAATGGTCACTCACACAAGCAAAGTACCAGCAAAGGAGGGGGAAAAAATTCCAGAAAAGTTCCCGAGGCAGGAAGTCTAGTCCTGCCAAGAATGTAATAAGGGTTAACGGAGAGGCAGTTTCTGTAAGCAACACCAGAACGTTTCCTTCCTGCCTTCCTCACAGGATTAGGCCAGTAATTTCTTCTAACAACCGGTTCTCCGAACTGCTTAGAAAGTTAACAACCAGTTCTAGTGAATAGGTGTGAACTGGTAGAATCCCACCCCTGCTTAGGGCAGAATATTTCACAGAGAAGGTAGGGGCTTGTTACCATTCACTGTTGTCTGCCTTTCCAATGGGAGCCAAGGACTTTGAACCAGTAATTCAGAATCTTGATCAATAAATTCATAACATAACATGTCAAAAGAAAATGCATTCTACATGTTGCCTGAGAATGAGTGAAGATTGAAAAATATTTTTCTTCTAATGGCATTCTCGTATTTTTCATAATATAGAATTCTGCCCTGATTTAATAGCAATGGAAGCCATTTGTCCCACACACAGCTAGTATTTTATGAGGAACAATACTGTATGCTGAAATAGACAAGTCCACAAACCAACTTACTTAACTTAGATTGTAATGTTCACTTAATTTCAAATATTTGGCATCATAGGTTTGTAATGTTCTTATCTAGCTCAGGGAGGAAATTGTATTGGGTTCAAAAATCTGTCTGCCTGAGATTCAGCCACCTGCCATTTTTCAAGTCTGCCCTTCAGCAAGATGTCAGCTAAAGGAAGCAACAGATCAACACTGAGGTTATGCTTGTTTTCATGTCATTTTCATTCAGGGTTTTACATTTTTCTTGAGAGCTTTGGAATTTTAACAGGATATGACAATTTCATCTGGTTCTTATTCTGATTGTATTTCGGAAGTCTACATTATATCAGAGTTTCCTCAGCTAACCTCCCCCTCTCCCGCAAACAGCATTTTTGGTTCTTTGGTGCAAGGGTGGATATCTTTTTTGGCAGTCTATCAAATCTCATCCGCAGTTCTTTTTACACCAGCTGGAAATGAACAGGCTGCTCTTTATATTGCTTTATGTGGCAGATCAGATGTATAATTTTTGTCTCTCTCTCTCTCTCTCTCTTCCTTTCAAGGTAAACTATCTCTTGAAGAGTTTATAAAAGGTGCCAAGAGTGATCCCTCGATTGTGCGGTTGTTACAGTGTGATCCAAGTAGTGCAAGTCAGTTTTAATGAAACTCTGGACAGTTTGCAAAGAAAATTACTGGCTTGTTCAAGCTTTGCTCGTAATGGATGCCTTCAACCATTCCTCATTGGTTAGTGGATGAAACTCCGTGGCTGGATTGTCTCTGTATCCAAGTGAAAAAAAAAAAAAAGAGCCTCACTCTTCTCATCAGCTGTGATACGTCTTTTCTTTCCAATATCCCAGTTCTGTTTTTCACTGCACATTATTGTTAGGACTCCCTGTACACATTGAGTGTAACCAAAGGGTGTGTTTACATGCAAGTTAGAAGAGGGGGAAATGATATTCCTCTCGGTTAATCGAAATGGATGACTTTAGTAACTCCGAAAAGATACTCTATGTAATTTTGGTCTGCTGTGACATCAGCGAATGACAGGCAGTTTATATCCCAGAAAATCACTATGAAATGTGGAATAAATTAAGCAGGTTTTGTTTTTTTTAAAAAAATGGCATGTCTCCAGTTTTCTTCTCAGTGAGGAAAATTGCTTGCGCTTGCATAGTAGTGCAAGCAATTCTCATTGGGAAGAAAACTGGAGTCATGCAGTTTTAAAGAAACAGATACGCACATATAAAACATACACATACATACTTATGTCTGTGTATGTGTGTGTGTGTGTGTGTGTATACGCACACATTTTACATTTATTTAGGTCATATTTAATATATGAAGTAGACTTCATCCTTCATTTCTTCTAGTTGTCCATGGTTATTATTTTTTTAAGAAAAGGATTATGATATTTATACATAGTCAAGTTGCCATTAAGGCACTGCATGATTAGCTGTTTGTGGGTATATCACTGTTTTAATTACTGGTTACAACACTTTGTCCATTTTTACTGTGCATTGTTCCAGCATTTACTGTGTTTAATGAAGACTAAAGAGGAATCATTCTGCTTCCGTGTTTCACAGTGAAGCGCCACTCACAATGGCTACAACATTTTAACAGGCTTTTGAGTGAGGTGAGATAATTTGACAAGCATTTACTATGATCCTCCTACCAATTTATGGCTGTCCATCTCTGTTAATAGTCTTGTGCATTCCAGTGTTATTTAATATCTGCCTAATGCCAAGAAATGCTGATTGAAATAAAGGTGAATTTTCTTGTTGATCGATGTTATATTTTAATTATTGGATGCTTGGAATTTTGCACGCAGCATGATTTCTTTCTAGAAAACAATGAAAGGATATTTCAAGAATCAGTTTAAAAAGAAGTGTTCACACAAGTTGCACGTGAGTGGATATCACTCCATTCTTCCACAGATTTTTCCAACAAAAACATTGTTCACTGACTGGCCACAACTGCCATGCATATATAAACCATAGGAGTATCTTGGTTTTGTGATCATAAAGGATTTTAAATGAATATCAGCCTAGCTCAGCAATATTATTTTTATTCAGAAATATAGCTAGAAGTTCTGTTCTTTTTCTTGTTTTGAAACAGATTTTTTAATATATATAAAACAACATCACATATCCTGACATAGATATGTTATAACAATTGTAATAAGGTGAAAGATAGTACCGGCAGTGGAGCTCTGGACTCTGGCTGGACAGTAAAACCTATCAAGTGAGAATGAACAGCACGAAGATAGTAAAGCCACCTTCTAATAATCCAGATCTCATCCCTAAAAATGCCCTTCTTTCATTCAGCCTGAAAAATGTTATGGCTGTGGTCCAAAGGTTGTAGTACCTCACTTAAAAATAAATATAAAGGTTTCATTGGGTAGAGTTCAACTGCTGGGGATTAAAATGGACACACTGATATATTTTTATTTTGGCAGTATAATATGGAAGTGATTTGCCATTGCCTTTTTCCAGCTTCATTTTTTATGTGACATAAAAACCAGCTGGGTGACTTTGGGCCAGTCCTCCTCTCTCAGCTCAACCCACTTCACAGAGTTGTTGTGGGGAAGATAGGAGGAGGGAGGAGAGTTAGGCATACTCATCGCATTGAGTTATTTTTAAAAATTATAAAGGTGATTTAAAAAAAAAAAATCAAATGCATTTTCCATGCAGCCTAAAACACTGATAGAAGAACAAGAACTGTTTCCATAGCATTGCCAAGAAAACAAAATGGCTGTGCCATGAGATCAAGGTCAGCCAAGAGTGATGTAAAAATACATGAGCTTTCTTCCAGGTAAACCTGTTTAAACTTGTGCCTGTATTATCTGAAACGGGTTATTGGCTGTTGATGTCATTTCCATGCTGCTTTGAGGTACCCTGTCTTTCAGCAAATTCAAACTTTGAGTTTTGTGTAGAGCAGGGCTGTCAAACTCCCGGATGACACGCTGGCCATGCCCACACCCAGTTTAATGAAGGGTGGAAGTCCCAATATGTCACATGATATTGTTATGACAATGTGAGTTTGATATCCCTGGTGTAGAGTATACAACATGCAACATGAAATTCCGTCATGCTAATCTATAGCAGTTGAATGGGAATCAGCCCAAGCTTGCATGGATGAGAGAGGCCTTATTCATCTGCAGAAGATTTAGACTGAGTGAACTTTTTCACGTGTTGAACCCTTCATTCCTTCAGTCATGCATTCAATTCTATAGTTCCCAAATCTGTTCTGGAAAGCCTGAGAGGAGGAGGAGGAGGCTGGAAAGGGAAGAAAACTGGTGCTCCCCCTTCTCATAAAGAGACAGCTTTCTGCTGCCTGCCAAAAGCAGTATTTTCTGAAGAATTAGCACTTAGAATCACAGAAGTGTGTGTGTGTGTGTGTGTGTCCGCCCGTGTACAGGCGCACTTATGTAAATCCTTGTGTTTTGCAACCAGACTTGAAAGCATTCTCTTTGAGGTCAGCTGTGAGTTTATGAAACATGTCATTTAGATGTTATACTGACCACTGACCTGTAGGAGACACTGTCGTACATATTACATGCTGGCTGGGCCTCCAGATTCAAATCTTGTTAAAGAGTTGAATATGGAGCATTTATGTGGCAGAAACCTACAGGCAGAAAATTCCAATAAAGATGAAACTAGCATAGTGCCCACTACTGGTCAATAGTTGACATTTAGCGCGCACAGTTTAACAGAAGGAACTTCTGTTAGGAGATCAGAGCCATCAAAATAACAAAATTGTTTAATATGAGAGTATGTAAGAAAAAAGGAAAGAGTACCTGCACAGCTTATATAAAACTGATAATTTATTTTGTAGTATGCAATATTCTGAATACTTGTATAAAACTTAATACAGTAAGTTCTTTGAATAGGCCTCCTTAGAACTGGGAACTTTTGGCTTTTGAATGAAGTAAATAATTGTATTTCCTCCTATTTAATTAAGACAAAATTGGAGACAAGAATATATATTAGCATGTGATTAGCATGAGCTGCAGTGGCGCAGTGGTTAGAGTGCAGTACAGAGAGAGACAGTAACTGTCATAGAAAAAATGGCCACCTAATATAACAGGAAATTATCTATCCCATTGTATTCTATCCTGGAGAAGATGTATATTCAGTATTGGATAAGATGCAGTGCAAATAATGGACATAATATCACTCATTCCGTCATTCATGTTCACTAAAACAGGGATGGACAATGCACAATAAAGAAAAAAATAGTAACAGAATCTCATCCGGAAATAATCTGTACTAAACGATATTAAATCAGGTGCCAGTCCACAATGACCGTAGAAGCTGAATACTCACTGTAATAAAATTGTTTTAAGGGACTATCAGAATACAGGGAATATTCAAAGACTAGAAGCAGCTCTAGGGTAACATATCCTATAATGTGGAGCCCATTGTAGAGCAAAGATAACCCTGAAAAGTATGCAGGAAAAGATATGGGAAATTAAAAGAGAAATCAGTCCTGGGAAAAAGAAGGAGAAATGAGACTCAAAATAATGCCCCTTGATCTTGTCTGGTATAAGGGGGGAATGGAGCAGAAGGAAGTTGTGGCAGGCTTTCAAGTTTCTGTTATTATACCCGACAACAATGACATATCATTCCTGGAACATTTGCAATGTCTGTTTCTGGCACATCCTTATTTCGCATGGGCCTTCTGTTGCTGTTCAGACCTTTAGGGCAAAATCATGCTTGGAAGGCAATCACCAATAGCAAATATGTTGGATTCCTAGAAAAACGTATGGCATTTTTATAAGTGCAGAACATTGCCTGAAATCCAGTTAATTAAGTAAAGGAATATGATGAGGTGCGTAATGATAGTTAACTATGCACGTGGCAAAGGGCAACCTCATCTTGTTCTGTGAACAATGGATTTTCATTCTAGTAGATCTGGATTGTGGAAAACCCTCCCCAGGGCTCTAAGCAATAAGAGCCCTGCCCAATTCTAGTCCCTGAGACAGAAAAAAAAAACCACCCAAGTATATATAATGTTTCAAACTGTAAAAGATGCAAGGATCTACAAGGCATAAGAAAGGTGCTTTGCAACACATAAAAATTATATGTGGAAGAATTAAAGGACCTGCGTTTGCAAAGCACACACAGTTTCTTCATTATTGTTTTACAGACACTAAGACTCAACCCTGGTATGTCTTCTAGATAAATGGAACTAGAGCTGCCTATCTTTGGATTCCTTGCCATTCAGACTGGTGATGCTAGTCTGGAGAATAGAGAATTAATGAGAAGATGATTATTATTATTTTAAGTGTAAAGCAGACAAATATCTCCGTTATAGCAAAGTGTTCTTTTTTCAATTCACAGATCAAGCAAATAGCTAACAAAAAGTTCAAAAGGTATCTGAATCTCTTGGCATCAATTAGCCATTAGTAAGATTGAATGAACAAGAAAAATCAGCTAAAGCTTTAATAATGTACTGATACCGCTATCATTTTGAACTGGATCCAGAAAATGAAAGCCAGTTAAAATGGAAAAAAAATTGTATTTTATGCCCTTTAAAATCAATAGTAGTAAATGTACTGGTGATACTACGGGAACCAACCTTCGATTCATATTTCAAAGGCATCTTCAATTAAAGCACATTGAAGTAGTTTAATACAGACGATGCTAACCCAGAACACAATGCTTTTCTATGGGATACAGGAAAAGTCATTTATAGATCTCTCTCTCTCTCTCTCTGCCTCCCTCTTGCTCTCGCTCTCTCATATACAAAATACCACATAATATGAAAATCACAAATTGAAGCAACAGCCTCCCAATAACATTTTCAGAGAACTAGCAGCCTTCAGGTTCAGCGAGCACCACCTGAAAATGATACCACACAACCCTCATGGTGGCAATGTAATTCAGAGATTATGGGTCATGAGTGAGAAGCTAGAAGTTTAGATGAGTGATAAGCAAGAAGTTTAGATGGAGACATTTCTGAATCTGATGTAAAGATTTCCTCAACTCTCTGGAGAGTTTGGATGCAAACTTCTTCAGACCTGTATTTCTTCAGTTCATGTATTTGAAATAGTATGCTATCATATCCTCTGTTATCACAGGTCAAGACTGTGTGCCTTTTCTTTGCAGTTATTAGGTATTGAGCCAGATGGTACATGGTATGATACCACCCTGGGTGTTTAATAAAACCTTTAATGAAAACAATAAATATTGCCTGTTAACTGTTCTGAGACTGGAACTAAGTTCAAAGTTTAACTGGTAAAATAATTCTCCCATGCTATGTACTGATAGTGATGGCTTAGCCAAGAAACATCCTAATATATTTTAATGGAAAATTAATCTGTTCAGCTTTAAGATCTCACACCAAAGCCACTACCACTAGTGTCCCAATAGACCTTTAAGATTTTATAACCACCTTTTCCACCATCCATCTCTTTTCGATTTAATTCCCTGGACATTGTGGATTATTAAATTCTTTCCTGTTAAGAATGTATTTCGTGGAGAGAGAAAAATGAAGACAGAAAGTCAGTGGATTGGAATCTTTTTCTTAATGCCTTTCATTTTTCCCAGCTATCAAACTATGTAGGCACTATGTTTGCAAAATACTTCAGTAATGGAAGACATCAGTGCATACACTACAGCCAAGCAAACCACTACAGACTAATGCACTCTTGCATACTCATAATCAGTGATTATGATATGAGGAATGAGTCATCCTAAAAAAACACACCAGAAAAAAAAACTGCCTTGAAATTGATATTTTCTCTTGGGAAGTCACACATTCAGTTGCAAATCATCA